TTCCTAATTTCTTGTCTGTTGTTCTCTCTCTCTCTCTCTCTCAGTATCTCTCTCTGTCTGTCTGTCTTTGATCTCTGAGACAGGTCGTTGTTAGAGCTGGCAGTGTGTTTTTTCTTTTCTCTGGGGCACTTATCCGTGCTTTTCACTGCTGCTTTTTTCTCTTCCTTCTCTCACTCTTCATCATCCAACTTTTTCTCTTTCTCTTCTCTCCCACTCACCTTTTTCTGTTTTTTCTTCTTTGATTACTCTGGCCCACTGATCTCCCCTCTAACACTCGCTCCCTTCCTTGCTCATAACCCCCCCCCCCCCCCTACAACCCCCATCTACAACTCCCCACTTACAACCCCCATCTACAACTCCCCATCTACAACTCCCCATCTACAACCCCCATCTACAACCCTCATCTACAACCCCCATCCTGAGAAATAACACTCAGGTATTACTATTAACTCTGAGGCCAGGATTCAATCTGATCACGGGTTATAGGCATAGGCTTTTAAAGGCAATGTTCCCGCTTTCGTGGAGATCCTGTTCATGGTAAATGCTGGATATGTCGGCTCAATCGTAAATTGCCTTTAAAAGCCGCAATGCCTATAACCTGCAATCAGATTGAATCCCAGCCTGACAGAGATAACTATAACTTGGACTGGTTTTATTCAGAGGGAGACGTTCACATTCCAATTGGTTATGATGTGTTATGACAGCATACCCAACCTCTAGCACATTCCAGTTGGTTATGATGTGTTATGACAGCATACCCAACCTCTAGCACATTCCAGTTGGTTATGATGTGTTTTGACCGCATCCCCAACCTCTAGCACATTCCAGTTGGTTATGATGTGTTATGACCGCATACCCAACCTCTAGCACATTCCAGTTTGTTATGATGTGTTATGACAGCATACCCAACCTCTAGCACACTACACTGTATGTGTCTTATCATGCTAGAAGCCCACCCACCTTGGTCTCATGCTAGAAGCCCACCCACCTTGTCCTCATGTAGAAGCCCACCCACCTTGGTCTCATGCTAGAAGCCCACCCATCTTGTCCTCATGCTAGAAGCCCACCCACCTTGTCCTCATGCTAGTGGGCTTCTAATTAATTAATTAGAAGCCCACCAACCTTGGTGGGCTTCTAACAACCTTGGTCTCATGCTAGAAGCCCACCCACCTGGTCTCATGCTAGAAGCCCACCCACCTTGTCCTCATGCTAGAAGCCCACCCACCTTGGTCTCATGCTAGAAGCCCACCCACCTTGGTCTCATGCTAGAAGCCCACCCACCTTGTCCTCATGCTAGAAGCCCACCCACCTTGTCCTCATGCTAGAAGCCCACCCACCTTGGTCTCATGCTAGAAGCCCACCCACCTTGGTCTCATGCTAGAAGCCCACCCACCTTGTCCTCATGCTAGAAGCCCACCCACCTTGGTCTCATGCTAGAAGCCCACCCACCTTGGTCTCATGCTAGAAGCCCACCCACCTTGTCCTCATGCTAGAAGCCCACCCACCTTGTCCTCATGCTAGAAGCCCACCCACCTTGGTCTCATGCTAGAAGCCCACCCAACTTGTCCTCATGCAAGAAGCCCACCCACCTTGTCCTCGTCTCTCCAATCTCTGTGTAAACGTGTTTCAAGTGTTGCTATTGCAGAGAGATACTGTATGATAAGTTATCCTAGTTAGATTAATTGTTAGATAGTGCGATGATTCTGCCTGCACTGACTGTCAGTTGAGGGATGAGCGTCGCGTAGGAGTGACACCACCTGACGTAAGACAATTAGTTAGATTGGGAGTGACTCAGCCTTTACCAGCCGCATAATTTTAGTGTTTTGATATATCATATTTCTACCCTTTTGGTTTGTGGCTATTGATTGATAAGGCTGGGATTTTGTCCCAACAGTGCACTCCTGTACCTAGATCAATAGATGTTAGAGAGAGAATAGCTTAATGTTCTCTGCAGAGGACAGACATCTGTCTGTCTCTGTCATTCCTGCCACTTTGTTGGTTGTTGTTGTCACTTGTTATTGTTGCGTGTTTACTGTGACTCCAAAACAACATTCCTTTATGGTTCCCTGCTTTCTCATCGTGTTCTTCAGGTCCAGCCACGTGGGCCATGGCTACCTCCAAACCCGACATCATGATCATCCTACTGAGCAAGCTGATTGAGGAGGGAGACAGCTTCTATAAGGTGAGATCAGGAGGCCCTACCCTAATCTGAGGAAGGACTGTCAGCTGTTGTTGGAAAATATTCATATATATAAGAAGAAAAAAAATATATATATATATACACATCCAAGAAAGAACATGTGATCTAATCAAACTATCTGTGTGATGCTTTTGTCTACACTTTTGACACTTTTGTATTTATCCTCAAGTGTTTACAGCTTTTTTTGGGGGGGTCATTAAGAGCTTGATGTTTTCTGTGTTGTATGAGTAACATGTTGTGTGTGTCGGTGTGTTCGACAGAAAAGGAAAGTGAAGGAGGCAGCGCAGTGCTATCAGTATGCCATCAAAAAGTTCCCCCGCGAAGGCTTCAGTGAGGACCTCAAGACCTTCAGGGAGCTCAAAGTGTCCATCTTACTAAATCTGTCCCGATGTCGGAGGAAACTGAACGTGAGTTGGTGGGCTCTGACCATGGATCCATCCCAAATGGCACCCTATTCCCTATATACAGTGGGGGAAAAAGTATTTAGTCAGCCACCAATTGTGCAAGTTCTCCCACTTAAAAAGATGAGAGAGGCCTGTAATTTTCATCATAGGTACACGTCAACTATGACAGACAAATTGAGGAAAAAAATCCAGAAAATCACATTGTAGGATTTTTTATGAATTTATTAGCAAATTATGGTGGAAAATAAGTATTTGGTCACCTACAAACAAGCAAGATTTCTGGCTCTCACAGAACTGTAACTTCTTCTTTAAGAGGCTCCTCTGTCCTCGCCTCGTTACCTGTATTAATGGCACCTGTTTGAACTTGTTATCAGTATAAAAGACACCTTTCCACAACCTCAAACAGTCACACTCCAAACTCCACTATGGCCAAGACCAAAGAGCTGTCAAAGGACACCAGAAACAAAATTGTAGACCTGCACCAGGCTGGGAAGACTGAATCTGCAATAGGTAAGCAGCTTGGTTTGAAGAAATCAACTGTGGGAGCAATTATTAGGAAATGGAAGACATACAAGACCACTGATAATCTCCCTCGATCTGGGGCTCCACGCAAGATCTCACCCCGTGGGGTCAAAATGATCACAAGAACGGTGAGCAAAAATCCCAGAACCACATGGGGGGACCTAGTGAATGACCTGCAGAGAGCTGGGAGCAAAGTAACAAAGCCTACCATCAGTAACACACTACGCCGCCAGGGACTTAAATCCTGCAGTGCCAGATGTGTCCCCCTGCTTAAGCCAGTACATGTCCAGGCCCGTCTGAAGTTTGCTAGAGTGCATTTGGATGATCCAGAAGAGGATTGGGAGAATGTCATATGGTCAGATGAAACCAAAATATAACTTTTTGGTAAAAACTCAACTCGTCGTGTTTGGAGGACAAAGAATGCTGAGTTGCATCCAAAGAACACCATACCTACTGTGAAGCATGGGGGTGGAAACATCATGCTTTGGGGCTGTTTTTCTGCAAAGGGACCAGGACGACTGATCCTTGTAAAGGAAAGAATGAATGGGGCCATGTATCGTGAGATTTTGAGTGAAAACCTCCTTCCATCAGCAAGGGCATTGAAGATGAAACGTGGCTGGGTCTTTCAGCATGACAATGATCCCAAACACACCGCCCGGGCAACGAAGGAGTGGCTTCGTAAGAAGCATTTCAAGGTCCTGGAGTGGCCTAGCCAGTCTCCAGATCTCAACCCCATAGAAAATCTTTGGAGGGAGTTGAAAGTCCGTGTTGCCCAGCGACAGCCCCAAAACATCACTGCTCTAGAGGAGATCTGCATGGAGGAATGGGCCAAAATACCAGCAACAGTGTGTGAAAACCTTGTGAAGACTTACAGAAAACATTTGACCTGTGTCAATTCCAACAAAGGGTATATAACAAAGTATTGAGAGACTTTTGTTATTGACCAAATACTTATTTTCCACCATAATTTGCAAATAAATTCATAAAAAATCCTACAATGTGATTTTCTGGATTTTTTTTTCTCATTTTGTCTGTCATAGTTGAAGTGTACCTATGATGAAAATTACAGGCCTCTCTCATCTTTTTAAGTGGGAGAACTTGCACAATTGGTGGCTGACTAAATACTTTTTTTCCCCACTGTAGTGCACTACTTTTGACCTGCACCCATAAGACTCTGATCAAAAGCAGTGCACTATATAGAGAATATGGTGCCATTTGAGACACAACCATATATAGTATTTTATCAATAAATGCATTCCAGAGTAATACATAGTAGTAACAGTACTGGATATTACCTCTATTGTTTTCAGTATCTGACTCATGGATCACTTGTTATTACATTCAGGACTTTGGGATGGCTGAGGAGTTTGCTACGAAGGCGCTTGAATTGAAACCAAAATCATATGAAGCGTACTATGCCAGAGCCCGCGCCAAGCGTAGCAGCAGGTACACGTCTATTTACATCCCTGCTCTCAGTCTCTCATCATACCATTTTCCTCCTTTCTTTGTGACCATTTGTTTTTTCATTAGTTTATACATTTTCATAGCAGCGTTTTTTTAAATAAATACAATAATTAAAAAACACTTCATGTAAGAATACAAACCTTACCTCACTTCCAACCCTGTTGCATTTTACCCCTCCTGCCTGTCTCTGCAGGCAGTTCCCTGAGGCCTTGGAGGACCTGAATGAAGCCATGAAGCAGAGCCCCAACCACCCTGAGATCCAGCGCCTCCTGCAGCGAGTAGAGGAGGAGTGTCGACAGCTTACCCAGGAGGAGGAGGACGCACAGAAGCTGGAGCCTCCCCCATCTCCTCCCCCCTCGCCTCCCCCAGACGAGGGGGAGGGGATGTCCCTGTCCTCCCTCCCCCTCCCCCTGGAGCTCCCCCCTCCCCCGGAGCCTCGGCTGGAGGACATGGAGCCGGTCCAGGATCTGTTTGAGGATGAGGACTATCTGGAGCAGGAGGCCATGTCTATTGGGAGTATGGGTTCTATGGGTCTGGCCCTCGAGAGGGAGCCCTGCTCCAACCCCTCCAGCCTGCCTATCATCCAGAGCCCCCCTCTTTCTCCGACCAACCACCATCCCTACCATCACCAGGACCAGGCCTACCTGTCAGGGGGCTCCCCCATGGGCCAGCCTTATGACTACGGCCACCCCAGCCCCACCTCTATGTCCTCCCCCGGCATCCAGAACTACCAGCCGCCGTCGCCCCCCTCCCTCTCTCCCACGCACCACAACTCCCACTACCGACACAGCCCTCCGCAGACCTCCCCGGTGCACCAGACCACCTACCGCTTCAGCCCCCCGCCCATGGGTGGCAATGGAGGAGGGGGGCAGGGGATGGACCACGGATACCAGAGCCCCCCGCTCTCCCCCCTGCGTCGGGGTGGGGTACAGAGCCAGTACAGAGCCAGTCCCCCAGTGGAGAGTGTGTGTCTGTACAGGTCCCAGTCAGGGTCTCCGGTGCACTACCAGCAGGAGCAGCCTCCCTTGTCTAAGATGAGCAGCCAGAGGTCCTTCCAGCTGAGCTCACAGCCTTCCCTGCACCACCAGGCCTCCCTGCACCACGACAGCCTCCAAACCCACCAGCAGCACCAGGCCCAACTGCACCACCAGGTCTCCCAACAGCACCACCATGCCCAACTGCACCACCAAGCCTCCCAGCACCACCAGGACTCCCTGCACCACCACGCCCAACAGCACCACCAGGCCCAGGCCCAGGGCCTGCGCCTCCAGCCATCCATGGCCCAGATTGTTCGCACCAACCAGCCCAGCAACGCATACGGCCAGATGGGCCACCCCATGCGCTACCAGGGGGCCTCCACGGACTTGCCGATGGAGAACCAGAGCCGGTTGATGTACCAGCCCTCCCTGGATGGTCGCTCCATGCCCCTGTCCAGCCTCTCAGCTGGGGCCCTCTGTCAGCACGGGGGCCGAGGAGGGGTCATAGAGGGCCTGATGAAGGACGAGCTACCCCAGCGCCCCTCCTCTGCCTACCGTGCCAGCAGTGGGGGCCAGGTCCAGGGTGGGGTCCGCTACAGCCAGACCCCCCAGATCAGCCGCAGCCAGTCGGCTGCCTACTACCCTGGCAACAAGCACGAGCTGGAGCGCCAGAACAGTGCCATGCCCCAGTGCCAGCTGGGATCGCCAGAGATCGGCCACATGATGAGGCGGCCCGTCAGTGCCACTACCACAGAGATCAAACCGCACATGTCCACTCCCCGGCCCCTCATCCACTCCCAGAGCGTGGGCCTCCGCTTCTCCCCCTCCAGCAACAACATCCCCACGGGGGGCTCCAGCTGTAATCTAGCCCCAGGTTTCAGGCCTTCCTCCTCCGTCCAGGGGATGGAGATCCCGCTCCAGGTGGCCTACGAGGGCTATGAGGGGTACGAGCATTCCTGTAACGACGACATCTCCCCAAACTCGCCCTCCCAGGGGGGCGGTGGGGGGCTGTACCAGGGTGAGAGCACCCGCTCGCGGACCACGCCCTTCATGGGCATCATAGACAAGACAGCACGGACTCACCAGTCTCAGTACCTGCAGCAGCCCTCCTCCCAGCGGCCCTGGGCCATGACCTCCATGGACTCTGGCATCAGCCCCACGTCGCCCGGCCAGCTGGTCCAGCAGGGCTCGTCCTACAGCCCCCCCACCTCGCTGGGGAACATTGCTTACTACAACAAGACTAACAATGCCCAGAACGGACAACTGCTGGAGGAGGACTACTACCCCCAGCAGCAGCAGTCCTCCCTGGGCAAGCTGGCCAACGGCACCTCTCGGGGCGGGGGAGAGGGAGGGGACATCCTGGAGAGGGTGAGCCAGGTGCCCACCTATCCAGACGTGAAGGTGGCCAGGACTCTGCCCGTAGCTCAGGCCTACCAGGACAACATGTACCGACAGCTCTCCCGTGACTCTAGGCAGGGCCCCACCTCCCCCATCAAACCAAAGAGACCTTTCGTGGAGTCGAATGTGTGAATGTACAGTCCACAGCCGGACTGGGCGTGTGAGTGGGAGGGGGGGAAGGGAGGGGAGGGGGGAAGTTGAGTTAAGGCTGCTGACCTTGTCTGACATTGATGAAGAACACATGATACACAGACAGAGTCCAGCCCCACTCACACTGAGAGCAGTCTACAACAGGCCCCACTCACACAGAGAGCAGTCTACAACAGGCCCCACTCACACAGAGAGCAGTATAGTCATACAGTACATAGATACTAAAACACTGGGGGTAGCAGTCTAGTCATACAGTACATAGACATGTGAGAGATTGTACTATTTTGTTGTTAAACTTCAACTCTGCACTTACAGAAATAGAAAGCTGTGACATTGAAAGGTGATGACAGGGCCAGTCCTGATCAAACACAGGGTCAAAGGTCCTAACACTTCCAGGGGGAGGGGGAGGTGGGGGCACAACTTCCTCCCCGTGGTGAGAGTGAAACTGAGGGCCCTTACCTTACTGTACCTGTAGATTCTCTATCCATCTACCACCTGCTATCCTAAAATACAACTTGTGCTCTTATTCAAGGTTGCTAGACTCTCTGTAATACAATATTAATATTCAAGGTTGCTAGACTCTCTGTAATACAATATTAATATTCAAGGTTGCTAGACTCTCTGTAATACAATATTAATATGTTCAATACTGTAAATGGGTCAGAAATTACAACAACGTGACTGTGCTTAGAGAAATTATTCTATTTATGATTAAGTTATATAATGTAAATACATATAAAAACATAATTATTTTCTTTGTGTTCTTTGTGTTAACTGTTTTTAGCCTTCTGTCGTTGTGCTGTCCTCAATAAGTCATTGCTCCCATCAAGCGTTTTTTCAGCTATACAGCCAGCTGAAACTCGTCCAAAACACTCCAAGAACTAGGCCAGAGATATCTTTAGTCGATTTAAGGATGAGAAGTGTAAAACTACAACACGAAAAGGCACAGCATACAAAACACACACACACTAAGTAGCTAGCATGTCGATAGCAGCTAGCTACATTAATTTCAATAGGAACGGCTAATCCGGTTTAGGCTAGTGACAATATATCTGTAAAAGTAACACAAACGGATAATGATATGTAAGTGTTAAAAAAACAACCAGGAATGTTAATACCTACAGTTGATGCCAACTGAAGGGCTGTAAAGGAAAGGAAGATGGTGGATGGAACAGTACATCGTGGTTAGACTGAACACTAAACAGTAGTAAACAACAAAATCATTAATTTCATATGAATGGCACTTCTTCTGCAATAACAAGCACAGGAAGTGCGGGCACAGGAAGTGCGGGCACAGGAAGTGCGGGCACAGGAAGTGCGGGCACAGGAAGTGCGGGCACAGGCTGCAATACAAAGACCACTAGGTGGGAGCAAAGGCAATACATGCTTAATGCGGTCCATGACAGTCCCACTAGTCAAGCAACAACATGGTTTGAGAATCAACTAGGACAGGGAATGAGGAACATTTAGAAACTTTGAATTACTCACATGTCAAATTATATTTTCTGAGTTTCTAAATATTATGTTTGTCATGTTATATTTTTGGTATTTTGATTTAACCTTTTAAGTTTTTATTATTCATAAATGTCTGCACTAAATGCCTGTGAAGTTCTTAACTTAGGGTGCACTTGTATTTCTATTACTTTATGGTTATGAATGGAGGTCAGGCTGATACTGGATTATTTCTGATGACTCATCGTCATAGGAACTCTGATCTACAAAGCAAAGTAATGAATGACAATATGAAGAGCAAACAATGTTTTTAAATGTCTGAAGATGTATAGACTTTATAGCACATTGTAACGGCTGCATATACTGGCCATCCCCCTCAACCCAACCCCAGATCCCTTCATAGACAGACGGATCTCATACGCAAATGGCTTGTGTTCTTTTTTATCCTTACCATGAGTGAAAATTATCCTTATAGCTACTGTTCAATTCAATCACAGTGTGTGGAAACCTATTGACTGACAGTCAGTCAGATGGTCCCAAATCCAGTGATAAAGCACTTAACTTCAGTGTCAAGGGAAAGTCCTGGAGAGAGAAATACAAAGGTTGTATTCATGACTAACATATTTTTATATTTGCCAGGTGAGTGTATAAAAACAATGGATGTGTGAAAGTACTTCAGTCAGATTGAATGCTCAGTCAGTTGCTTCATGGACAGCTTCCATTTGGATCTTGTCTGCTATTCAAATGGCTGAATAAAATGATTCAAACGGTTCCCAACCCACAGGACAGCTCATTTGGACAACTGTAAGACCGTACTGTATGTGTGAAGAATTGTACTATTCTTTCAAAAAATACTTTAAAGGACTTTTGAGCTGTTTTGTTTTTCAACTTTCGATTTAAATTAGTTGGCTGTAAAATGTAAATTAGTTGGCTGTAAAATGTAAATTAGTTGGCTGTAAATATTCAGATGCATGTTTTATTATTTCTCCTGATCTCAAACAGAAACACATACAGTATACACATTGTCCTGAATCTGGTCTGGGATCTGTGATAGACATCTTGGATATACATCTGGAATATACATCTGGGCTGGGATCTGGGATATACAGTGGCTTGCGAAAGTATTCACCCCCCTTGGCATTTTTCCTATTTTGTTGCCTTACAACCTGGAATTAAAATGGATTTTGGGGGGGTTTGTATCATTTGATTTACACAACTTGCCTACCACTTTGAAGATGCAAAATATTTTTTCTTGTGAAACAAACAAGAAATAAGACAAAAAAATTGAAAACTTGAGCATGCATAACTATTCACCCCCCTTTTTTCTGGCCACTCTTCCTTAAAGCCCAGCTCTGTTGAGTGTACTGCTTAAAGTGGTCCTATGGACAGATACTCCAATCTCTGTTGTGGAGCTTTGCAGCTCCTTCAGGTTTATCTTTGGTCTCTTTGTTGCCTCTCTGATTAATGCCCTCCTTGCCTGGTCCGTGAGTTTTGGTGAGCGGCCCTCTCTTTGCAGGTTCGTTGTGGTGCCATATTCTTTCCATTTTTAAATAATGGATTTAATGGTGCTCCGTGGGATGTTCAAAGTTTTGTATATTTTTTTATAACCTAACCCTGATCTGTACTTCTCCACAACTTTGTCCCTGACCTGTTTGGAGAGCTCCTTGGTCGTCATGGTGCCGCTTGCTTGGTGGTGCCCCTTGCTTAGTGGTGTTGCAGACTCTGGGGCCTTTCAGAACAGGTGTATATATACTCAGATCATGTGACACTTAGATTGCACACAGGTGGACTTTATTTAACTAATTATGTGACTTCTGAAGGTAATTGGTTGCACCAGATCTTATTTAGGGGCTTCATAGCAAAGGGGGTGAATACAAATGCACGCACCACTTTTCCGTTATTAATTATTTTGAATTTTTTGAAACAAGTTATTTTTTTCATTTCACTTCACCAATTTGGACTATTTTGTGTATGTCCATTACATGAAATCCAAATAAAAATCCATTTAAATTACAGGTTGTAATGCAACAAAATAGGAAAAACGCCAAGGGGAATGAATACTTTTGCAAGGCACTGTACATCTGGGATATACATCTGGTCTGGGATATACATCTGGGATAGACATCTGGGATATACGTCTGGGATAGACATCTGGGATATACGTCTGGGATAGACATCTGGGATATACATCTGGTCTGGGATATACATCTGGGATATACATCTGGTCTGGGATATCATCTGGATATCACAATCTGGTCCTGGGGATAGACAATCTGGGAATTATACATCATGGGATAGACATCTGGGGATATACATCTGGGTCTGGGGAATAGACATTCTGGGATATACATCTGGGATAGACATTCCTTGGGATATTTACATCTGGTCTGGGATATTACATATGGGAGTATACATCTGGTCTGGGATATTACATCTGGGATATTAACATCTGGGTCTGCGGATAGACATCTGGGTATATACATCTGGGATAGACATCTGGGATTAGACATATGGTCTGGGATAGGGACATCTGGGAATCTGGGATATACATCTGGGATAGACATCTGGGATATACAATCTGGGATAGACATCTGGGATATACATCTGGGATATACATCTGGTCTGGGATATACATCTGGGATAGACATCTGGGATAGACATCTGGGATATACATCTGGTCTGGGATAGACATCTGGGATAGAGTAATGAAGCTGTATCCTTTCCCTCAAACCTCCAACCAGACAAAATGCAAAACTCTGAAGTGTTCTAGTTGTATTATTATATTTTATTTAAATGTATTTGCTTGCTTGCTGAGCAGAGTTATTTAGTCTGTAAATGTGAGCTTGCAGAGCGCTGTGATAAAATATTAATTAAAAACAATAAAAAATAATTTGTTTTTATCTCATGATAACTGATTGTAATCTGTACAGTCAACCCTATGTATTGAAGAATAACATATTTATAAATGGTTACCAACTGAAAAACATCCTGCATGTCATTGATTTGCTTTGGTCTTTCAGGTGAATGATATGAATAGCTGCATATAGTATCCTGCCATTTTTATTGTCAGGGAAGTTCTTATTTAATGTTACATGCCAACTTGCCAAGCAAGCATAAACTACTACTCTGTATGTGGGGACAGTACAACAATGAGTCATGAATTGATTAGGTTTAACTAGAAGGTGGCACTAGTTCCCTATAGTTCAAGTTTTATTGTCACATGCACAAACAAGTACAGTGAAATGCATAATTTGCAAGGTCTACCCAACTGCAGTAATCAATATCAAAATAGTATAACTAATTAAAAATATATATATAATACAGACAAAACGAGAAATAAGAGAGGATGCCATAATAACACTGTTGCATATTGCGTTAATATTTTGGATCACCATAAATACTTTTTTCATGCATTAAAGAATGTAAATGAAACATGATTTGTAAGCAAATTACTTTAGATCAGAGTAGTGGGTTTATCAAGGATCCAGCTGACAGTGCAGTGATAAGACCGAGACTTCTGGTAAGTTCAT